TGTGTGTGTGTGTGTGTGTGTGTGTGTGTGAGAGAGAGAGAGAGAGAGAGAGAGAGAGAGAGAGAGAGAGAGAGAGAGAGAGAGAGAGAGATGCGAAAGTCCAGGCGAGGTGGCACGGGGAAAGGCAGAGGAAGAATGGTGCACTGCGGGGTCAAGGAAGTTTTTGAGGACGAGAAAGTTGTCAGGATGAAAGTGAAGAAACTGGCTCAGATTGTACGCACAAGCAAGTACACTGTGGTATGTTCATCTTAACCTCCTGTCTTTTATTCACGTCAAACTCCTCCCTGTTTTCACATGTTATTCGCTTCTTTGAGCCTTCTCTGTCCGATTTATTCCCTTGTGTTGCTGCTTTCATATCCTCTCAATTCCGTTCTTCTTTTTTTCCTTCCTTTTTTTTAACCATTCTTCCCTATTGCCCCTTCCCTAGACATTCTCCCTTCCCCAGTCATCCTGGTTGTCCGTCCGTCATCTCCTCCCTCCGCCACGCTTCGCCCTCTCCTTTCCATCTTTGCCCTCTGTATGAGTGTGTTTATGTCTTTCTGTGCGTGTTTGTCTGTGTGTGTTTCCACTCCGACGTCTCTTCTGGTCCCTCTGTCCATGTCTTATCTTTATTGATCGATCAGTTGTAGTGATGTTCAACTTTTTTTTTTTATTTTTTTTTATTTTTATATGTTTAACTTCCGAATGCTGAGAATTGCATTTCTCGTCTGTATGGTCTCTGGTTCTTTCTTGTCTACACTCTCTCTCTCTCTCTCTCTCTCTCTCTCTCTCTCTCTCTCTCTCTCTCTCTCTCTCTCTCTCTCTTTTGTTAAGCAAACGCCTGAGTCCCAGGACTGCTATCTGGGGTGGTAGGTCTCCCCGTTTGGTGTGTTTTCTCCTCTGTACTTTTTCTCTCTCTTCTCGGTCTCTCCTCTGTCGCGGCTCACGTTAACCCCTTACGCGCTCCCTCTCTCTCTCTCTCTGTGTCTCTGATGTGATCTGGTTCGTTTTCTCCCCTCTCTCTCTCTCGCTCTCGCTGTCTCCCCCCTCCCAGCACCCTCTGTCTTTCTCTTTCCCCCAACTCCCCTCTCGTCATCCAATGCCCCTTTTCTCCTTCAGCCATCCCGTTCCTTGGCCGTCTCCCTCTCCCCGGCATCGTGTGTGTGCGTATCGAGATCCCGATCTCTTCTCGTCTTTGAATTTCTCTTTCGTGACGACCTGGCTAACTGTTGCTGCTGATTATCGTCGGTGATCGGTGCTTATCGTCGTGTTTGATTGTCTTCGTTGATGATGATTGTCTTTGTTGTTGATGATCTTCATTGATGATGATTATCATTTTTTGTTGTTGATTATCTACGTTGATGATCATCGTTGTTGTCGATGATCATTTTCGTTGTTGATGCTAATACTAAGTCAGTCGTCCATTATCAATCTTCGTTGTAGATGATCATCGTCGTCTCCGATGATGGTGGTTGATCGTCGATGGTCATCGTCGATCATCGGTCTTCGATTGCGGTGCTCGTGCTGGTGGGCTGATGATGACGAGAATTATTTGAGTGACGCGGCGACGCCGTCTGCTCGGTAATTACTGTAGTATTTCAGCCAAATCGACGGTGGTTGTTGCACGAATGTTGGGGCTCGTGCGCGCAGCCTCACCTTCTGGAGGGGTAGTCTTCTTCGTCTTCCCACGTGTCCCATTCTGGCGGGGTAGTCATCTCTACCATTGCTATTGTGTTGAATCTGTTGATCATTTAGGCGCAAGGTCTAACCTTGCTTCAATCAATCAATCAATCAATCAATCAATCAATCAATGAATACGGTTTTTAAAAGCGGTATCCGCTTTTGGATTAAGCTCTCCGTAGGGACTTTTTGGAATTACGCAGTGACTCCTTTGCCAATTGTTTTATCTGGAAAAAAAAAAAAGTATTATCTGACGGGGAGGCGAACTTTGCCGTGGAAGATAGAACTTTGATAAGATCGAACAGAGATCCGCTTGTTGCACACCGCGGTAGTCCTCCTCTCCCTCCCTTCCCTGCCTTCCCTCCCTCCCCTTCCTCCCCTCCCGTCGCTCTCCCTCCTCTCCCTCCCTCTCTCTTTCTCTCTTTCTTTCTTTCTGTCTTTCTGTCTTTCTCTCTTTCTGTCTTTCTCTCTTTCTCTCTTTCTCTCTCTAGATCCAACGGCCACGACGGCGGGATCGCAGCATCATCTTGAGTTGGCTCTCCTCGTCTCTGTGTTTTTTTTTTTTTTTTTTTCGCTCCTTGTGGTGTCTTCTATCTTGTGAGTTTTAAATCTCTGCGGCAGTGTTCCTCGATCTTGTTCTCCTTTGCTCGCTCCTTGAGATCTTTCTTACGTTATGAAAAGCTCCGTTGGGCAACAAGATCCGAACTTTACTTTCGACTTGCTTCCCTCTTTGTTGTGTGCACCTTTTATCCATGGAGCGAACTCCTCTTCTCATGTTTCTTTTTGGTCTCCACTTTCTCTCGCTCTTTCTCTCGCTCTTTCTCTCGCTCTTTCTCTCCCTTTCTTTGCTCGTATTTAGTATATCCTTTTTTGTTCTTTCGTGCGTCTTTCTGTCTCTCTTTGCATCTGTCTGTCTCTCTGTCTCTCTCTCTCTCTCTCTCTCTCTCTCTCTCTCTCTCTTCTTCGTGTCGTCTTTGCGTATGTCCTGGCTGGGCATTTTGTGTTTGCATCTACCATGTGCTTCGTTCTCTGCCCCCCCCCCCGGTATCTGTCGTTTGCTCTCTCTTCCGCTTTCTTTTCTACTGTGCTTTGTTTCCTTGTCGTTTTTTCCTCTTCTCTCTCTCTCTCTCCCTCTCCCTCTCCCTCAGTCTCTCCCACCCCCGATTTTGTTCCTCCTGTCGGCTTCCTTTGGAATAAGCAAGAGGGCAGCAGTTGTTTGACAGTATAGGCCTTCTTCCTCTCCCCTTGTCCTTTCTTTGGCTGGATCCCTTTCTCTTTCTTTTGCTTCTGCGAGGTTTGGTTTCCTCCTCCTTTTCTTTACCTCCTCTTTTTTGCCTTTGGCTGCGTGCAAGTGGGTCCTTGTGACGCACGGGGATGTGGGGGCAGCCAACACTCAACCTGTCATCCACGTGGCTGGCCTTGTACGTAAGAGGTGACGAACAGGCGGAGCTTTCCTTCTTTCCTTTTTTTTTTTTTGTCTTTTTCCGCCTTTGCGCTCCGATTCACAGTGTGACAATGTATAATACATACGATGATTAGTGATGATGAGGATGATTATGACGATGATAATGATTATGATAATGATTATGATGATAGTGATGATGATGATGATGATGATTGATGATGATGATTGATGATGATGATTGATGATGATGATGATGATGGTATCTTCTTTCCCCGAATACAACGTACGGTCATTATAGCTGTATTTGAGGCATCTTTCAGTCTAGATACAGCTATAATGACCGTACGTTGTATTCGGGGGAAGAAGGTAGTAGGCAAGAGAAGCTTCGAACTCTCGGCTTGTTGTTGTCCACCTTTGATCCCTCCGCGGCTTTCATCTCTACTCTGTGTTTTTTCCCCCTTTCCACATCCGGGATTTATTTTGGGATTTATTTTGGGAAATAAGAATAGAATCAAGAGAATGAATGGCTGACATGTATCTTAGCCCTGTTGTCTCGTACCTCTCTCTCTCTCTTTCTTTCTCTCTCCCTCTCCCTCTCTCTTTCTCTCTCTCCCCCTTTACTTCTCGCGAACTTGGCAACCCACCTTCCTTCTCCATTTTATTCACCACACGAATTTCTCTCTGCCCAACGTCTTTTGCTCTCCATGTTCTTTCCGTCTCTTCTCTTCTTTTTTTTTTTTTTTTTTTTTTTTGTATTTTTTTTTTTTTTTTTTTTTTTTTTTTTTTTTTTTTTTGTTTTCTCTTTTTTTTTTTTTTTTTTTTTTTTTGCATTCTCTTCTATTCTATTTTTGGTGTATCCGATTTCATCTGTTCTTTCTGATTGGGCAGGGACCTTCGGTCGAGAGGTCGGGTTATTCGTGAGAGATTTCATGATTCAGTTGGCCGTCTTGATCTCTTTAGATAACTCCGAGCGGCTCTCCCCTCTCCGCCCCCCTCCCCCATCTCGTCTCCCTCCCCCCCCGCCCCCCCAGTTTTTCCCCTCCCGTCCCTTCTCCCTCTCGTGGCGGCTTTCAGCTTGCATCCTGATCCTATCACTCTCTCCTCTCTCCCCCTCTTTCGTGCGCTCTCTCCTCTCTCCCCCACCCTATAGCGCTCTCTCTCCTCTCTCCCCCACCCTACAGTGCGCTCGTTCCTCTCTCCCCCCCATCGTGCGCTCTCTGCTCTATCATTTTTGTCCTATTACACCCCGGGCATCAGATTATCATACTCAGCAGATGCTGTCGAGGGAGGGGGGGAGGGGCGGGATGATGGATGCTGATCGATGCTGTCTTCCCTCGCTGCACTACTACTCTCTCTCTCTCGCGTCCCCACGCTCCTCTCTCTCTCTCTCTGTCCTTCTCCTCCTTTTGCCCCCTCCTCTCTCTCTCTCTCTCAGAGTCCTTTTGCTCCTTTTGCCCCCTCCTCTCTCTCTCTCTCTGTCCTTCTCTCCTCCTTTTGCCCCCTCCTCTCTCTCTCTCTCTCGTCGCTCTTCGTAGCCATGCGTGATGTTCTCTATGTGATGTTGCCTGCACCTCCTCATGGCAAATCTGTTTGCCCTGCTGCTGATCGGATACTACCTTCTTTTCTCTCCTTTTATCCATACTCGTCCCCACCGCCGTTCTCCCCACCCTTCCCTGACGATCCCCTTGCTCCCTCTTTTTTTGATGTCGTTCAACTGGATTCGAACTGGGGTCGGTATTTCGACAGTCAAGAGTGTACCAACTAAGCTAGGCCCGTTGGTCCTCTGCTCCCTTTTTCGTGCCTTGAAAAGCAGAAAAAAATGTCCGCTTTAGCAAACAAAAAGAATACATTAATTGTAAAATTATAAATGTAATGAAAAAATAATGTGATGGAACGTCTCCGTTGTGCATGAGCTTGTTGTTTGTGCTGGAAAAGAATGACTGAGGTGTATTGCTGCTAGCGCGTATATATACATGTCACCTGTGTATCTTGTTGTCCTCTTCTCCCGTGTACGTGTCTATTGTTGTCCCCTTCTCCCTCTCTGCCGACGGTTCACCGGGCTGTTCGCTATAATACACATATATATAAGTAAATCCGTATATATATAAATATATGCATATAGATGTGTACAATTGTATATATATAAATTCGTCTTTTACGCGCCGACCCCGCC